ACGGCGGCACCATTCCTCTCGCGCGCCCACGCAGCTTCGCCTCGCCCGCACGCACGACACGAGCACGAAATCGCGTTCCCTGTGGGGGGCTCTCTGTCCCACTGTGCTCGCACTTCCCAACCGCCGACTGCAGGACCACGCGCGCTTAGGATCCTCCTCTTCCTCCTGCTACGAAAGAAAAAGAAAAACAAAAACAGGTGAAGCAGCCCTGGGCCGTCCCTCGTCCTCCCCCCAACACGCCTCCCCGAGCCCGAAGTGTCCCGAGCGGCCGCACGAGGCTCGATTCGCATGCCCGGAAACCAGGAGGGGGAGGGAGGGAGAGAGAGGGGAGAGAGGGAGGGGGGGGAGAGGGAGGAGAGAGGGAGGAGGCAAGTCGGGTGCGCTCGCGCCACCTCTGACATCCTATCCCTCCCCTCCCCTCCCTACCCATCTCGCTGATGTTGTCTCTGTCCGCGGACGCGTGTCCTAGCCGACCTGGAACTCCAGCTCCCTGGCAAAGCACCCTGATAGCAACAAAGGTGGCCTGTGGGATCTGTGGGGCAGGTGGGGGCAGTGTGACTTGTGCGATCCGTAGGACCTTTGCAACCTGTGCGACTTCTGTGGCCTGTGGGACGCGGGGCATGTTGGACCCATGGGGCAGGTGGGAACTGTGGACCTGTGGACCTGTGGGACTTATTGGACCTGTGCGATCTGGGGGACCTCTGTGGCCTATGAGACCTGCGACACTGGTGGGACCTGTGGGACCCGTGGGATCTGTGAGGCCTGTGGGACTTGTGGAACCTGTGAGACCTGCGAGGCCTGTGGGACCTGTGGGACCTGCGGGACCTGCCTGACCTGCGGGAGCTGAGGGGCCTCTGTGGTACCTGTGAGACATGCGGCACCTGACACCTGTGGGACCTACGGGACCTGTGGAATCTGTCATACCCGTGGGACCTGTGGGACGACCTGAGACACCTACGGGTCCTGTGGGACCTGTGGGGCCTGCGAGGCCTGCGAGACCTGCGGGACCTGCGACACATGCGGGATCCAGAGAATTTTTCACGCTGGGGCGCGAGCGCCATTCTGAACGACGGGGGCACAGCGCCGAACCGGAAGCGAAGCCCACGCTGCAACGAGAACAACACTTTAACCACACCGAAGACAATCGGAGTGCAAAAGCACACCGGCAAAAACTACACTCGGCCAAGTATTGTGGAAACACAAGACGCGGATAGGGACAGGAGATCTTCCTGACAACTTCAGGGGAGAGACGAGAATTGTACAGTGGAGACCCATGCCAAGAAGCACCCTGCTTGCCGCCAAGGTGCCCTGGATTTCTGGGGTTCCGATTGCTTCTTCTATGGAAAGCGTGACGTTCCCACACCACCAATCAATGAACGTCGTGGGGTCTCAAGGCTGGGTTTCTGGTGGAAGGTTTCTTGCGGACTGGCCTCCACTGTATTCAGATCGAACAACCGTAAAGGATCGTTGATCGAAGCGGATCTAGGTTTGGGCTCTTTTGGGCCTCTTGGGGACTTCTTGCAGCCTCCTGGGGGTCTTCTCCTGGGGCGAAGATCTCGGGTTCTCGATTCACGTTCTCGATCCTGGGCCGCGGTTGGGGCCCTCTCGGGCCGTCTTGGACGTCTCTTCGGCGCTTTTGAAGCCTATTGGGCCGTCTTGGGGCGGTTTTGAAGCTTATTGGGCCGTCTTGGGGCGATCCTCTGAGCCTCTTGGGGCGTTTTGCAGCGTCGGGAAGCGGAACAGGGGGAAACGCCAAAATTGTTCAAACACCTTTTCAACATACATGTTTCTGGGCCTCTTCGAGCTCTGTTGGGAGACCTCTTGGAAGCCTCTTGGGTATCTTGGGGGCCTCTTGGGCCGCCTGGAGGCCGTCTTGGACCATCTAGTGGCCTTCGGCCCATCCCGCCACCGTGACTGGGTTGTGGATTAGAGGCCTTTTGGAAACTCGTGTGGAATTCGTAGGAGGCCTCCTGGGGGCCTCTTGATGAGAAGTTTGGAGGCCTCTTGGGGGCCGTTTGGGGAACAATTTGTTGGGGCCTCGTGGGTCCTCTAGGGGGCCTCTAGGGGGCCTCTTGGGCTCTGTTTGGGGCCTCTTGGGGCCTCCTGGGGGCCTATTGGGGCAGAAGGCTCGACTTGTCGGTTCGTGTTCCTCCACTTGGGCCCCTCTTGGGGCCGCCTTAGGGCCCGGGCAAACTTGGGCGCCTCCTGGACCGTCTTGGGCACTCTTGGGCCGTCTTGGGGCTCTCTTGCGCCGTCGTAGCGCCCTGTCGCCCTGTTTGGGTGCTTCCTGGGCCGTCTCGATCTGATTTCTGGGGATTCGTGGGCTGTCTTGGACCGTCGGGAACACGAAACAGCGAGAACACGAAACACATTCAAAAACCTTCGAACAGAACCTACTTGTTTCGCCTCCTGAGGGCCTCGTGGGAATTCTTGTGATGGCATCTTGGCCGTCTTGAAGCCCTCTTGGGCTGTCTTCAAGCCATGTTGGACAACTTTTGAAACGCTCTTGTGCGGTCTAGGGCTCTCTTGCAGCGCTCTTGGGCCATCTTGGCGCCCTCTTGGACGTCGCTCGGGCCCTCTCGTCGCCCCCCTTCTTTTCATTTGACGCGTTTTGGCACCCCCGACGGGTCCAACACGCCTGAAGAGAAATCAGTGCACTCCGAGGCCCCCGGGCCCCCCTCCCCATTTGTCTTTGATTAAACGTATAAATCTGTGTATATATATATATATATATATATATATATATATACTAGAACCATCGCGCGCTGCGCGCGCGCTCAAGTTCTACCTAGGCTGAATCGGCTAACTCATGTCATCTCATTTGGGCGTTTCTTGCGTCCAGGGACTCCCTTGGAGGCCCTGCGCAAGCCTCGGAATCGTAAAGAAGGGGAAGTGCGGAAACGCAGATATCATTAATTCCCTTTTTTGGTTTTCAACGATTTTGGGCCCTTAAAGGCTTCCTGGATTCTTTTTGTTTGTTGTCGAACTCTCTGAAGCAACAGTGCCAAGCGCAGAGTGAGCATACAAGTGCAAATGAAGTGAAAACGCACTTTGCGTTCCACGGGCGTCAACATGCGTGCCACTTACCGATGCTGGACCTAGGTGGCTCACCACGAATGAAAGCTGTATACACATGTGTATCATGTGTATCTGCAAATTTATGAATAAATCTATACACGTAAGAATGCTCACACTCTCTGTCCCCCTCCCTTCCACCTCGCTCGCCTACTGCTGCCGGCTCGGCTCGAGCAGATGTGAGACAATCTGGCCACTGGAGCGGTGGTCGGAAACGAAAAGGGCCCCATTTCAATCCCTGCTGGGATCCTCCGCCATCCCCGTTGCCGCTGCGAGCCGGGAAGTGGGCTACTGAAGGCAAGCCGGTTCCGCACCCACAAAGCGATAGATCTACCCACACTGCTCAAATGTCGCACTCATCATGGAAGTTACAACACATGAGAAGCGAAGGGTATTCGGCCGAATGGTTAATACATCGGGAGACGACTGTAGCATTCAACTGCTATGTCTGATCCCCTCGCGTATCTGATACGGATTAAAATGCAGTGCTGCGTGCTGCGATAGGGGGTCTCGCTGTCGCCACGAAGCACATGCCCGTCACCGCGTCTGCGCGATAGTGGATGCAAAAATGTGTCTTATCTGGTGGGGTATCTAGAACGGTTGTTTCATGTAGCCTTTGCTATCGTCAAGCTACCTTCCCGGGACTAAATCGAAAGCCCTGAGGCCTGACCGCGAGACCAGCTGCGAGCCAACCCGGCGTCACCAGACCTGGCTGAGGCAGCAGACGGACTGCGTGACAAATTTCCGCTTGACCTACCCGATCGCATACCTGTCGACGAAAGGCTGCTCCGTTGCGATGCGCCGATCTCGCTTCCCGAGGACGCTTCGGCCGATGCACCGCGTGACAGGCTGCGCGCCTGCTTGGGTTCGTTGCTTTGCGACTCGATCCTTGGGGGCGCTCCAGGCGCGACCCATATTATGTCCTCGGGCGTCCCCTGCTCGAGGTCATTTCGCGACACAGCCTCCAAGTCCTCTTCAGACTTCCGTTGCCGGCGGATCCTTAAGAAACATAACAATTGAATGCAACAACACAAAACAAGTATCGCGCCAACTTGATGCCCATAATGACAAAATCAATGCTCGCCGTTTTCTCCGTGTCGGCAATGAGGCCCTCTGCGAATGGCGTTGCCGTCGTTGATGTCGTCTGGGTGGCGGTGATTTCCATTATCGTGAGCTCTGCGTGCACGAGGACACTGGAATTTAGCACGAGTGTCAGGCCCCGAGATGACATGGCGAGCTCCATGAAACTATAAAACGTCTCAATCGACTCCAAGTTCTCTCCTGAGGTCGCGTTTACATGCTGATACAGCTCTGTCGTTACGTCGTATGCCGAAAAGGCGGGAGATGCACTTGCAACTATCGTCCAATCGACCTGCCAATGCGTGACTGAGCTGGTGAGCTCCTGGTCCGACATGAGCCGTCGCGAGCTGTTTGTGAAAAGCGAGGCAACACAGAACACAGCACTTTCGGGCACGCCCTTATGTGAAGCAAGTGCATTCACTGACGCACTTTCCACCTGCTCTTGAACGCCCGTGCTTTCGAACCACATAGATCCCGCAACAATGTATATCCGCGTAGTAGTGCTTGTCTGTGTCGTGACGGTGATAGTAGTAGTTGCGCCGAGAGGGGTGGTGGTGGTGATAGTGGTGTCGGTGGGGGTGGTGGTCATTGTGACAGTGAATAGGGTCGTGGTGCTGGTCATGGTGGCAGTGGTCAATATCGTTATGGTGCTGGACAACGTAGTGCTGGTAGCGGTGCCAATGGACACAGTACTGGTGCTGGTCAACGTGGTGGTCAAGGTAGTGGTGCTGGTAGCAGTATGAGTGGACATGGTGCTGGTGCTGGTGATTGTGGCAGTTGTCAAGGTGCTGGTGCTGGTCAACGTGGTGGTCAAGGTAGTGGTGCTGGTAGCAGTATGAGTGGACATGGTGCTGGTGCTGGTGATTGTGGCAGTTGTCAAGGTGCTGCTGCTGGTCGCGGTAGCAGTGGTCAAGGTGGTCGTGGTGGCAGTGGTCAAGGTGGTGCTGCTGGTCGTGGTGGCAGTGGTCAAGGTGGTGATGCTGGTCGTTGTGGCAGTGGTCGAGCTAGTAATGCTGGTCCTGGAGGTGAAGGTAGTGGTGTACACTGTAGTAGTAGTGCCGCTGGTCAGCGTGTCAGTGGTCAAAGTGGTGGTGATGCTGGTCATGGTGGCACTTGTCAGGGTGGTGCTGGTCATCGTGGCAGTGGACACGGTGGTGCTGCTGGTCAGCGTGGTAGTCAAGGTGGTGGTGCTGGTTGCAGTGCGAGTGGACATGGTGCTGCTCCCTGTTGTGCTGGTCTCAGTCATGCTGACAGTTGTCCTGGTTGCAGTAATCACCTTAATTTCTGGTGGTGTTACTTCGATCTCAGATCCCACTATCGCGAAACCTTGCGAAAGGAAGACTGATTGAATACCTGATCCGAAATCATAAGCAACACCGCTATCATTAACAACCTGGCTTGCAAAATCGTATATGTTCTCCGCAGGAGCTTCAGGCGAGATGATCTCCCAATCGACATTATACTGCGGGCCAGAACCATCAACGACATACCGGGCCAGGCTCGCAGAAGCGGTGACAATCACAATGACATTATCTTCATCAACTGGGAAAACACTCGCTAAATGAGATGTTAATGCCCTTGTAATATTATCAACCGTCCCATTGCTTTGAAATGAGATGGCACTGGAGACAACGTAAAGGGGTGTGGTGGTAGATGTATGAGTGGTACTAGTGCTGGTCGCAGTGGTGCTGGTCGCAGTGGTGCTGGTTACACTGGTACTGGTGGCACTCAAGCTGGTGGCGGTACCAGTACTCTGGGAGGTACTGGTCCCAGTGTGAGTGGAAATGGTGGTACTGCTAGTCGCGCTGGTAGCAGTGGTCAGGGTAGTGGTGCTGGTCATGGTAGCAGTGGTCAAGGTGGAGGTGCTGGTCATGGGCAGTGGTCAAGTGGTCGGTAGTCGCGTCAGGGTAGTGGTGCTAGTCATGGTGGCAGTGGTCAGGGTAGTGGTGCTGGTGCAGTGATGCTTGTCAGTGGTGCTAGTCATGGCAGTGGTCAAGGTGGAGGTGCTGGTCATGGTGGCAGTGGTCAGGGTAGTGGTGCTGGTTGCAGTGATGCTTGTCAGGGTAGTGGTGGTCATGGTGGCAGTGGTCAGGGTAGTGGTGCTGGTTGCAGTGATGCTTGTCAGGGTAGTGGTGCTAGTCATGGTGGCAGTGGTCAGGGTAGTGGTGCTGGTCGCAGTGATGCTTGTCAGGGTAGTGGGTGGTCAAGGTGGTCATGGTGGCAGTGGTCAGGGTAGTGGTGCTGGTTGCAGTGATGCTTGTCAGGGTAGTGGTGCTAGTCATGGTGGCAGTGGTCAGGGTAGTGGTGCTGGTCGCAGTTGTGCTCGTCAGGGTGTGGTGCTGGTCATAGTGGTAGTACTCGTCACGGTGGTGCTGGCAAGGAGCCTCCTGCCCTTCACAGATTTGGTAGCGATGCTAGTTATGGAAGCGATTGCCGGGGTGGTGTTGCTTATCATGGAAGTTGCGACGTGAATTTCACGTCCACCACCGCAAATACAGCAAGTTTCCACAGCCGAATGGCCCATGCTCCCCACATCCGAAGGATAGCCGATGACGAAATGGCGATTCATGACCTGATCAGCAGATGTCGTGCACAAATCCTCGTAGTCGTCGCAAGGAAGCCCTCTACTATCGGTCCAATCTGCGGGATTGTTTGCACAACCCTGCCTCTCATGACAGCGCGCCTCACATGTCATCATCGCCAGAAGCAATGCGGTGAACACCCCGTACAAGCTGCAATGCAACTCATACGGACTGCCTTGGCGCCCAGGGCCCATTGATATCTTGGGAGGCACCCTACGCGTTTCAAACTCAAGACGATATATAGTCACTGAGCACGGCTGCGCATGCTTGAGCCACTGGCTTGAGCCAAAATGGCTACGGAGGCTTCCTGGATTCTTTTTTCGGAGGTGATGGGTGGTCTGAATCGTCGTCTGCTGTGCAAGAGTAGACCGGAGGCCAAACTTGGACAGAAAAAACAAGGATTGTGGGACTTCATTTTTTTTCTAATTCCTCGGCGCTGTTCGGCGCTGTTTTTTGGTTGTGCCTCGCGGATTTTGTTAGCCGATCCCCTCAGGGGTGCAGGATCTTCCGGACCCCCTGGGGTTTCTGGAGGCCTCCTGGATGCCTGGACAGCCGTCGGAAGGGTGTCTCGGGCTGCGCGGGAGCGTGTTGGGCCGTTCTGTACGTTCTGGGGGTTCCTTGGGGTCGTCTTGGGCTGTCCTGGGGCGTCTTGGGGCCCCCCCCATGGGAAGCTGGGAGGCGCGGTGCCGGCCAGATGTCAGGGGATGTGTGGGACCTCCGAGTAGGAGTGTCACATTGAAAAAAGAAGAAGGAATTCTGGGAATTCCCTTTTTCAAAATCCTCGATCTTCGAGGGTTGGAAGCAGGAAAACGTGAAAGGCGAAAAACATTAGAAAAACCATTGGAAATCAACGGTTTGACCCTCTTTGGGCTCTCTCGGGACGGCTCTCGCAATTCTCTTCGGCTGTTCTTGGAGCCTCTTGGGGTCTTTTTAAGACCTCTCAGGGATCGGGGGGGTGTTGGGGGCCTCTGGGTGGTCCAGGAGGCCTCTCGGAGGTCTCTGAAAGCCTCCTGCTCCTGCTCTTGGGCCAGTCTTGGGCCTGTTCTGAGGTGGTCTGGGGCTGTCCTGGGCGCTTCGGGAGTCTTGGAGCCTTCTTGGTCCTTCTTGGGGCCGTCCTGAGGGTCTCCTGGGTGGTCTTGGGGCGGTCTTGGGCGACTCTTCGGTGTTCTTACAACGTTGGAAATTCGAAAACAACGATGTTGGCCTGTTCGGGCCGTCCCGGGACGCCTCTCGGACCTCTCTTGGGGTCTCTTGGAGCCACCTGGGAGCCTCGAGAACCGTCGGAAGGCTGACTTGGGCTGCTTGGGAGCGTCTTGGGTCATCCTTTCGCATTCTGGACACTCCTGGCAGGCGTCTTGGGCCCTCCTGGAGCGCGGTGGAGGCTGCCCGGAAAAACCGAAGGAACGGTACCGGGAGCGTCCCCGAGACGTCATTGGGAGGGGGGGGACCCGAGACCCGGGGGGGGCAGCATTCATCTATACTATAGACGTAGGTGTGTATATATATATATACATATACACATATATATACAGATAAATACATACATACATACGTGTGTATATATGTGTATGTATGTGTAAATGTATATATGTGTATACATGTACACGTACATGTACGTAACTGTATATAGACATACGTGCACATGCACATTTGTGAATATGTATGTATGTATGTATGTATGTATGCGTGTATGCATGTATGTATGTATGCATGCATGTATGTATGTATGTATGTATGTATATATGTGTGTATATATGTGTGTGTATACATGTACATGTACATGTGCGTAAATGTATATACGCATACGTACACATGCACGTTTGTGAAGATGTATGTCTGTATGTAAATATGTACGCATATGTATGTATATATATATATATGAATATATTTATGTAGGTGTACATACATACATACATACGTTTTTTGTTTGGCAGTCGTTCCCTCGCCAATGGTCATTATCACCACTGACCGGCATGCAGAACACGTTCATCTAATTGTTTCGTCGTTCGAAGGGTCGCCCGACCCTTTGGCAAACAACGCGGCGCCGCCTGCGCGAAGGCCAATTTTGCACAGATACGCGCAATTGATTGACAGGCCCCGGTCTTCGCACATACAAACTCATCTAAAAATACCAAACCAAAAACAAATATTGTCATCCAAATATTCCAAAAATGCGAATCCAATAATGAACATAATTCCTAATATCCTCACCAAATATTACTAATATCCTAACCTACCCAAAAATTACAATACATATATATAGATATATTCGGAATATTCGACCTCTACGCATCTAGCGTCGCAAACGCGCGGCCGCGCAATAGCCCTCCCGGCGGGCGAACACCTCCGAGTCGATCCACGGGAACATGCGGGAGACCGATATGGTCGAAGGTAAACCCGATGATGGGCCCGCGGGGCAACGAGCGATCGGGTGAGACAGGAGAGCGGCACTCATATTCAATAATAACACAGCCGGGGCGGGAGGGGGGGTGGAGCGGGCGGGGGGGGGTGAGTCGGGGGCGAAGTGGACGAGAGGGGGAAGTGGGGGTCGCCGATCACGAGGGCGGCGGCGACGGCCGACCGCGACGACGAGGCCGGCGAAGGCCAAAAGGAGAAAAGGCGAAGAGGGCGCCGACGGCGACGGCGACGGCGACGCGAACCGCGGTTTCTGAGAAGGGATGCCGCGCGCCCCATCATGCTCGGTACCTGCTTGACCGCGCCGCCCCGAGGCGCCTCGTCCCTCGGGGCACCCGCCCGCCACTCCGGGACGCCCGCCACTGTCTGCGGAGTGGCGGGCAACTGAAACACCTGAAGCGCTCCCCATCCGAGGAGGAGCAGCAGGACCAAGATGGCCGAGGCTGAAAAGCCGGAGAGGGAGACCGGGCAGGAGGAGGAGGAGCAGGAGCTTCAGGAAGAGGAGGGGCAGGATGAGGAGGAGCAGGAGGAGGAGGGGCAGGAGGAGGAGGAGCAGGAGGAGGAGGAGCAGGAGGAGGAGGAGCAGGAAAAGGAGGAGCAGGAGGAGGAGGAGGAGCAGGAGGTCGCCCACCCCCTGGGCGCCTCTATTCAAACTGCACTGGCCTTCCAGCGCCGACATCGGCAGTGGCCGCGGTCCCGTGCAGCAGGTGCGGCGGAGGTGGAGCAGGAGGGGAGGGGGAGGCTGAGAAGTAAGAGGAGGAGGAGGAGGAGGAGGACGACGAGGAGGAGGAGGAGGAGGAGGACGAGGAGGAGGAGGAGGAGGTGGAGGCAGGGGAGAAGGGGGAGGAGGAGGAGGAGGGGGATGAGGAGGAGGAGGTGGAGGAGGGGGAGGAGGAGGAGGAGGAGGAGGGGGAGGAGGAGGAGACGGAGGCCGAGAAGTAAGACACCGGAGGAGGACGAACAGCAGCAGCCGAGGCAGTAGCAGCAGCAGCAGCAGCGTCAGGAGGAGCCTCAGGATACAGGATGAGGATCGGATCTACCTCACCAGCCGCCACTCTATACACCGCTGCCGAGGCCATACTCGAGCACAGCACTGGCCCCCACCTCCTCCGCCTCCTGCTCATCCTCCGCCTCCTGCTCATCCTCCGCCCCCTGCTCATCCTCATCCTGCTCCTCGCCTCCTCCGCCTCCTGCTCATCCTCATCCTGCTCCTCGCCGCGTTGCTCACACTGCAGGCGGCGCCGCCGCCGGGGGGGCCGCTGCCAGCGGGGGCGCTGCCGCCGGGGGGGCCGCTGCCTGCGGGGGCGCTGCCGCGCCCAGCTGCGCGGGCTCCTCATCAGCATCTGCGTCGAGAAGCTGGCCGCCGCCCTCGAGCGACTCGATGAGCTTCGGGGGGAGGGACGCCCACGCGCCCTTCGCCTTCAGCTCGCTCGACAAGAGCTCGCTGGCCGCCTAGCGGAGCCCCCCCACCACCACGCCCCCAACCCCGCAGTGCGCCAGTCATCAGTGCGCCCCCAACATTGCCTACAGCCAACCCAGATAATAAGGGCGCACGGTAAGGATGCAAGAGCGTCGGAAAACAACGCTCACATCGTTCGAGGACGCAGCACGCCTGGGGAGCGCCGTGCAAAGCAACGGCATGAGGAGCCCTGGAGCCTTGATCCGGATGCAAGGGCCTCGGTAAGGGCGCACGTTCCTTGCAACGCACCGCGCCCTCCTCCACCTCCGCCTCCCCGGGGCCTCCTCGCCCGCCCCATCTCCATGCCACCATGTCACCCGCCGACCGCCCTCCGCATCCTCGACTTACCCCCAATCTCCTCCTCGCCCAACCCTCCCCCCTGCCCGCCTTCAACTTGCGGGGGCCGCGCAGCTGCTTCCACGCGTACTTCACGTTGAACAGCGTGAAGGTAACCGCGACAGTCACCATGCCGTGGTGGACCACCGTCCTGAACTGGCCGAGGATCTCAGAGTCCAGGATGGGGCGCGAAGCGGCGAGGAGCTTCAGGCGCGCGTCGACCTCCGTGCAAGCCTGCCCCAACTGGCCGAAGTCGGGGTTGGCCACGAGAGTTTTGGTCATCGGGTGCGGCGGGCTGTCCAGCAGCTTGTCCTGGTGCGCCTTCCAAGCAGGGCACCAGGGGCTGATCTTGCCACAGAGGGTGCGGAAGCCGTTGAGCCACGCGGTGCGAATCAGGCCCAGCTCCCGGTCGAGCCGGGCAGACGTCTCACGCATTGCGCGCGCCAGCGGTAGTGGATCCAGAATGTCGACGTGGTCGAGGAGCGCCTCCCCGTCCAAGCACCTCTCGAGGTTGGCCTGGAAGTTCGGGTCCCGGAAGTCCTCGGGGGACGAGGCGGCGGGCGACGCGTCGGGCTGGGGGGGGGGCGGGGTGGGGGGCCAAAGGGGCCCGGGCGGAGTCCAAGCAGAGCCGGGGAGTAGGAGACGGGGTGGAGAACGCAAGATCTACCCCGGGCCCCCT